CTAAACTCAAAACTAAACTCAACCATATAAAATCAAATTAGATTTTAAACCAAACTACTGAACTTTAAACTAGTAACTCTTAAACCTAACCAAATTAACTTCTAAACTGAACTTATAAAACGTTAAACCTAAACCTAGTGAAGACAAACACTGATCCTAAACCAATGAAATAAAAAACCGTTTGTTGCTCTTTTTTGTATTTTGCAGGTTGTGTCTATGTTCAGTTCTTATAATTTACCGAGTGTGATGGGAAAAGATCATCGAGTGACGAGGGATATGGATGCTTGTTTTTTTCGTTTAGACTAATTGTATATCGTGTACTTATTAAGAAAGAGGCCTCGAATATTTTGTAAAAACAAGTGATGTTTAATTAAGTAATTAAACAAATTCAGGCTTAAACAGTCTCGTCTCTATTTATCTATATTATTGGGGTTTTTATCAGAATAGTTATTTACAGTTACACATCAAACGTGATTTCAAATCGATTGAAATGGAGTGGTGAACATGTTTAGGCTGCATACCAAGTCCCAAAAGCGTTATTGGCGACGTGAATGCGATCAGTAAAAGGGGAGATATAACAAACTCTACTCGAATGTGATATATGCCAAGTTCAGGAATTGAACGCAACTACTCGGTGGCGGGTATATTAACACTACACTACCCTTGATTGCAAATAGGACACTTGAATTATGGCGTAATTAACGTAACTACATCTACCAGAATCCCTTGCACACTTTCTTAGGCTAAGTTAATTATGAGGCAATACAAATTTAAATAAGAAAGAAAATTTGCAAAGCCTTTTTGGTAGTGGTTGTAGGATGACGTCCTATCGGGGACTTTTCTTTAAGGGCTTAGCGCAATCTTCAATGCCGTACTAGGCTCTTGTCCTGAGAATCCCCATCAAGTATGGTTAGATAAATTGCAATAGCCTGATAACCAATCTCAGAATGAGCTGATTGACAGCGATTATAATATAAAGTAAAGATGGCGTCGGGTCGAGAAGGGGAACAATGTAAAGATATATTCTTAGTTCTTAGTGCGCGTGCTCGACGCGCATGCGCAATAAGAAATAAGGCCTCTAGGTAAGAAATTGAGATCTCGTAGATGCAGCGMATTCATAATTATACTTGCAATAAGTCACTTGCATTATGTCGTCATTTACTACCACTACCAGAACTCTTTGCGCATTTTCCTTTGTTTAATTAACAATTGTCTTGCTATTCTCATGAGGGAATACAATTTTGAATAAGGCAGCTTGCAAAGCGCCCGCTTTCGCATGGAGGGCACCTCACTTTTGTCTCCTAAAACACACCTCAACTTAGTAGTGTACTAGAGCACACTTGACTCACTGTCAAGAGGACTGGGTGCGATTCCCAGCTGAGTTTGGTGGAGTTACGAGACCTGAAA